CTTGCCTCTCTCAGGTGCAATAATTTGGAAAATACCACAGTACTATGGCTGTCTACTTGCCAGGTAATGGGAGTTTTAAATGACTACCACATGCTACCTGTACTGCACACCGTGCTGCTTCTCAACACAGTATCAGGAGATTATCCCCTGGCGTACAGTGAATTCTTATCTTTACGTTGCAGTCAGGATTATTTTGCTTTTGGAGGCACCAGAAGGAGAGACGACTTGGTGATGTAATGAAGCAACAACCCATCAAATTAAAAAATAGACCGGACACCTACTGGAACTCTATATTATCGAATTACTCTCCAGTACACGCAAGTTAGCTGCAATAACACCCGGCAGATTTATTCTTTTTGTAGTCACAGCACATGACTTAGAAAACTGGCACAACACGACCAGCACTGATTTCCTGAGCCAAGAAATGCCTCCGCCATGGCAGCACATCAGGTACCACAGGTGACACAGAGACGTCCTGTTAATTTCCACAGCAGCAACAGTTATGTGCCAGACAAACAAACACTGAATCAACTTGAACTGAAAAGACTGGTAGAGCTGTTTCTATCCAATATGCATAACATGAGCAGGATAATTAGTGTATTTATCAACTTCTGTGTGCACATGTGCATTCCTGTGTGTATATCTGTGTGTGTTGCACAGAGGGATGCTTGACTCCCAATAGATGTCATTATTTTCCACTTGCAAGCTCTCATCTCAGCAAGCATGCAGAGGTATTTTTATTATTCTGTCTGTCTGATATTTTGTGTGTGTGTGAGTGTGTGCTTCACAAAATGTTTGTCTCTCAAAAAGTTCCAGACACTTTCTCATTCTGTCTGGTTAGCAGAAAAGTGCAGGAAATCTCATTTCCTACTAAAATTCTTGCAAAAGAAGCTATGGCGCATCAAGTGTCACAGTGTCAAAGGAATCGGTTCAAGTGACTGGCACAAATACAATCTTTCATCTCGTTCAGGAGCAAGCTTTTGAATTAACTCTGCATGTGGTGTGACTGTGTATCAGGCTGGCAGGCACAGGGCTCATGTGTTGGAAAGTGGAATGTGATTCACCCTGAGAGAAAAGAGATGACACGATCAATTACATCAGCAAAAAGCTTGCAGAAGGTGTTAAAAAGTGCTTTTGTGAGTGGTGCACCTGGGTAAAGGCAGCCAAGCGTTGTGGGGTTTCTGTCAGCGTCATGGACAGCAGTGTCTGATCAGCACCATGGACAGAGCCTTACTTACTGCACCATGACAGCTGTTCTGTGCTGCTATTTATCAAGCTTCTCAGAGTACCTTTTTTGTCTTAAAGAGGTGGTATTATGCTCATTTTCACGTTCAAAATCTTATTTAGGTGTACCAGAACAGGTTTACATTTAATTTTCAAAAAACACCATATTTTTGTCATACTGCACATTGCTGCAGCTCCTCTTTTCACCCTGTGTTGAACGCTTCGTTTTAGCAATGGACTGATACATCTTTTCTCTAAATCTTTGTTGGGAGTTGCACATGCGCAGTTCCTAGTTAAGGACTACTAGCCAATCAGAAGCAGAGAAGGGCAGACCAGTGAGAAACCGGTAACCAAGGCTTCTGTTCAGCTGTACATGTTGCCGACCAGCTTGGCAAGAGTTTCAGACTGGTGAGTTGTTAATCTGTACAAATGTATTTTTCATCCATAATGTTTTAACCAAGCTCTGTCTCTACATCCCAGTAACAACTTTATGTCCATTGACTGCCTGGAGGGTAGCTGGTGTTTGGAAGGGAGTGGAGGTGTGTGCTGCATTTGCGTTCAGTTGCTAGTAGGGGCTGATGATGGCACTGTGAAGACACAGACATGCGCAAATCTTTCAGGAGAGGAAGATTTTTTCTGAATTACTTGATGATGTGCATTGTTTGCACAGAGCAGGCATAATCTTTGTCAGTGAGTTGGTGAGAGACATCATCTCACCACAGACTTTACACAGCAATGCGCTTCCAGCTAAACTGAAAATTGTGAGGATGCTTCGTTTGCATCAATGCAATGCTGATGATTTAGGGCTAAATTGTCATGGAAACAATTATGGCACTTACAGCTACACTGTCACGTGTTTCATAGACTATCACCCTGCATAATCCAACAGACGCAAACACAATTCATGCAAAAATCCGGCTTCGCAGGTGCAATTGATGGCTGTGATTGGTGGCGCCAATCACAGACAAGATGCGCGAATTGAGGCTCCAATGGTACGGCCATGTTGTCCGCAGCGACCAGAACTCAGTCGCGAAAACAGCCCAACGATTAGACCTGGGGGGCAACAGGCCACGAGGACGGCCAAAGAAGCGCTGGATGGACAGGCTCAAAGAAGACATGAAGATAGCAAACGTTGCCCCGGAAGACGCCCTGGACCGGAAGAAGTGGAGGAAGGCGTGCACGCAAGCGGACCCCGCACCAAGCGGGACATAAACCGCTAGGAAAGAAGAATTGATGCCACTCTTATAAAGATCAACTTTTTTATCTTTCATTTTCAATGCGTATATCATAATGTATCCTCTTAAAAATTCTTTATTGTTAAATGTGTGTTGAATGTAAACTCCTCTTAGGAATTTCACCATTCAATGTGAATTATTTGAGAATTTTCTTAAATAAGGAAATCTGTTCAGTGATTGGTCCTTGCCCACGTTGTCATCCAAAATCCTTTTTGCAGCACAGTGAATTGTTGTGAATCACCACTAAGACTGACACTTAAGATTTAGTCCTACGCCTCACTTAAATTAGGACTGGGATGCTTAATAACTTTCAAGCACAGCTTTATGCCAAGATTTTTTTTACTCTTAAGTCAGTTCTAAGCAGTGTTCTTATGAGAAGCTTCATAAATTCAGCCCCTGATCTCTGAAAGCCATCAAATTTTTGACCAATTAGTCCAAGTAGATTCATTAAAGAGAAGCTTAATGAACGAATCTGAAGTTTTCACAGGAAAACTAACCTCCACACAGAACCCACGCTGGTGAAGAATTGATGCTCCTGTAACTCAAATGATTCAAATCTGACAGGTGGAGGCAACTCAGGGAGTTGTCAGTTCTAATACTAAAAATGTTCCTGAGTAGAAGGAGTGTAAGAAAAGCACAGTGAGTCACGCCAAAATCGAGATCGAGTCCAGCTGTGGTGTGTTGAGTGGAGTTCATCCAACGCACCATATAAAAAGGAATAAAGTTTTGAAATGTGTCAATTTAAATTGAACTAACATTTACATTAACATGTTTTACACTTGCATACAGCAATACTGCAAATTTACATTGAATATGTTTTATTAATGTATAGAAGAAAAAAGTATTTCTAGCAATTTTCTCTTTCTTTCTCTATTGATAAAAATGAAAACGGATTTGTTATTTCAACTTGCAGTTTTTCTGTGTTCCTTTTCTGTAATTGTATTCTCTTTTTAATTTTAAATTATTAATTAATTTAGATTTCTTTTTAGCAAAACACTATGTTATTCTACACACAAAAACAATATACTTTCTTACAATAAAGGTCAGAATATGCTGTATTAGCATATCTCTCTTCTCAGGCACACAAATCAAAAAATCATGAATTAAACTCACAACACTTGTGCATTATATTAAGTGAAACTTTGCATCATCTGATTTTATCAGTGATCCTTACACAATGCAGGACTTAGAGTCACTTCAGGGGGTTCATGGATGTTGAGTGGACCTAAAGTTGCATTAATGATTCACGTGGTGACTTAAAAAAACAAGCAAGACCATTTTATTAATCTGAATCTTGTTTATTTAACTAAACTGTATAATACATGACTTTAAATCCACTTTTGCTGGGGTGGGGGCATGAACTTTTTGTGGCTTCTGAAGGGGGGCGTGACAGAAGAGTTAAACTAACATGACCTGGACCCAAATAAGCAACAGAAAATGGACTTTAGTATTAACCACTGAAAAAAAGTAATTTAGTAATTGCTACATGTCTGAGGTCACACGCCTCTGGAGCAACAAGGTGTTAAATGTCCTGCTCAGGGACACATTGATGGATGAAAATCAAACCAGGTCTCCCATATCAGAGAGATGTGTCTTATCCACTGTTCCATTACCACAAATTAATTCAAATTAATTCAAGTTGTTGCTAAAATCAACACTTGTCCATTATGATTCTATGAGCTTCCTTAATACTGTAGCTAGCAGTAGTGACAGAGATTGCTACAGGTGTGATGGTGCTGACTGAAACTCAACTACAAAGGACTGAACAGACTCCTGCAGCACAATCCAATGTTGCAACAACCCTTTTCAAACCATATTTCACTTCGTAGGTACATAACGCTTCTCAACAGCCTCCATCAGATACTGTAAAGGAATTTCCCCTCTTTAAGGGTGATATCACACAGAGTTTGCCCGGGTCACATTAGGGTATTTTGCCGAGATAAATGTGTTAGTGTTATCACTCTATACTGTTGTTGCCATTTTCTCCTCGGCCGAGCTCCAATAAATATTGCTGCTTAAGACATCCCGAGTTGACCAGCTGACAAGAATTTCCTTCACAGATACAAAAAAATTTTAAAACTTACATTACGGCCTACAGCTGGATAAAGAAAATGTTTAAGTATTAAGACTTTTGAGTGGCTTTCATTGATGAAACTAAATCAATGCTTTTTAAGATACTCTGTACTACGATTACAAGGACCGGTTATAGTTCCTGGTTGGTAAATATTACGTGTTGGCAACAGCAAATCAAATTTTGGTGCAAAATCTAGCCGATTCCCAAGCAGACCAAATACACTATGGTCTGTCCTTTCCATCCACTTTTATTTGAGTCAGTTTTTGTATCCTCAGCCCTGATAACTTCATAGTTTGTGCTAAGAATCAATCCCACTCTCTGCCATACAAATTAAATGAAATAAAACTCACCGTCTTTCATTTCAGTTAAAGTCAGATTAAATTAATTAGGTGCCCTCCCATTCACATCCTTCTTAATGTTTATGAGAGTTGAGCTTGTTCTATTAAAAATACACCCATGAGTCAATGAGTTGTTAAGATTTTTATATAGTGCTCCACATCACTTATTACAGTATTTCCCAAAGGGTTCAGTGTGTTGAGGTATAGTAACTTTCACAACTCTTTTCTCAATTACGTCACAGCTTAGAAGTTATTTTACTTTGCTCTTTATCTACATTAATCTATAGAGAATATAAATCAGGAAATTATAAAACATCCAGATGAGTCATGCCCTTTTACCCTCTTCTTACTCTCCACTCTATCTGTCCTGTCCTCACCTCCTTGTGAAAGCTGCAACTAATTTGATGCTGGATAACTCCCTGCAGTACTGAGTGTGATAGAAAGAGACAGACAGAGAAAGACAAAGAGAGGCTGGGGGGAGCAGTAAGACGAAGAGAGCAGTCAGTGGAGAGAAAGGTAGAAAGTGAGACAAAAAAGGAGAGGCAGACAGAAAGAGATGGATAATGAGGACAGACAAAGCAGAATATTTCACCACTGGAAATATTTCACACTTCACATAATATTTCATTCTTACCGTTAGATTCCTGGGTTTGAGATTCTACCCAAGGCAGACAGATTGACAGACTATTTTTCATCAGCCTTGCGTTTCTTCCCCAGCTCCTGCAACTGTAAACCTAAATGACTGCCATAAATCCTCCACAAATCCACATATATTTTTGCCATATTTCTGGTGACAGCTGATTATTTCTGCAGCATTTAATATTTGCGTTCACAACTACAGTGTATTCATCTAAGTAACATAATCAAATTTATTAAGCCATCATTGCTTTGTGGGTGGGTGTTGATTCAATATAATATAATCAAGAAGTCATTTAGAGATTAAAATAAGTTTCCTGAACTGATTTATGATATAATATATTTAAAAGGTATAATGAATGAAATGAATATGGGTTTGGCAGAATTGACCATTCACAGTAATTGCTATTGCTACAACAAATTCTCGCACGGCATGAATGCAGTCTAAAGTGAAAACGATGGCATGATTTGGCATCGATATTAATAATAATGTTTAAAACAATGAGTCTTATATTTTGACAGAAGTAGACAAAATTAGGCTGCTCATTTTTAGCCAGCAACAATCACTTTGAAATGAAAAATGCAGATTTTATCAGCTATAGCTAACTAGCTAATTAAACTAACGTTAGCTCTATGAATTGGTTTAAAATGCTGTCTCTAGGTAACTTTTTATGTTTCCAGCTGACTTGTTTAATCAAGACTGTAAAAGGGTTCTTAAAAATAGTAGAACTGAGGCTAAAGCTACATGTCCCGGGCAAAAAATCCTCAGATGATATATGTAAGACACATAATGTTAAATAAAGAAACCGCATTGTTTTTATATGCAGTGTGGCTTGTTGTCAAACCGTGTTTCACCTTTAAAGTCACAAGAGAAAAGGCTTTTAGGATGAGATCTAATAACTCGCCTTACATTGGCTGGTGATGCTGGAGTGTAAACTTCCAGAGCAGGACTGAGTAGCTAACATTACTATAATAGGACCTGGGGCGAGTTCAATCTCAAAACGTTTTGCACCGGTATGCAACGTTTTCTGATTGAACGACATGTTTCCTTGCAACGTTGCGCAACCTTCGGCAACGGGCTTCGAGGTATGTTTCCATCCGTTTGGTGGGCGTGTCTCAGGTGTTACCTTATCAGCGGCAACTTTGTAACCATAAAGTGTTAAAAACCGCTGCTCAACCTTGCTTCCAACGTTGTCCAGTGGTCGCTTACGGTATTGTTGCAAATAAATTCCCATGTGGCCCAAAACGCATTTTCCCCACAACAAAGAGACTGTTGTACAACTGTTTACAGGACACCTCAATCTGTCAACAAGATCAGTCATTATGAAGCTTTAATCCATTTTATATTTGTAAAACATGTGGTGTTATCTCAATGTAGTGTATAGATTGAGTGGGAACTCACAAGCGGTGTTTCCAAGTTTTAAAGTTTAAGCTGCACAAACACTTTTTAGCAGAAAAAAATTGGAAGAAAGTGTCACGGGATCCAAGTAAAATAGAAAACTTAGACTAACTATGATCTGAACACCTCCATTGTCAGCAAGTCTGATTTATTCAACTGGGGATTTGAAACCTGGAACTCTAGAGTAGGTGACTTACTGACTGAGCTGCTGGTGAGAAGCTGTTTCTGTACACCTTCTCACTGGATATTTTTGTCAGTTTAAAATTAAAACGCTTTCAACATTCAATTATAATATTAGATTTTCTTAGATATTTTGAAGTTTGGAATCAGAAATGTACATTTCTTGTAATAAGCCACACACACTTTGAGCAATGATTAGTAGTGACCCTAAACCGAATTTTGTACAAATCCATGAATTACGAGGTATAAGCGAAGCTCAGACAGAGCATCTGAACAGACGTGTCAAGTTTGGTTAGCAAGAGTAAAAATTTATGAAAAAAAAAAACAGATTGGCATATCAAAATTCTTCTGATTACTTTTGATCAGCGACGTCTGTAGGTGATCCTGCCAAAGTTTCAGGTCGATTGGCTAAACAGTCTGGGGACAAGTGTGCAAAAATAGGTTTCATAGAAAAGTGAAAAAAAGTCATATAATTTGACATTTTTAGAGCTGAAGACCATTGGAGCAAAGATGCAGATGAATCCAGAGATTAAAATAATGAAAGATTTAGAGATAATTGCAAAAACATAAAGTTGGTTGTTATAGCGCCACCATGAGGTCTATGAGTGCCATTTTTTTGAGTAGTGGGTGGAATTTGCTGCCCAAACACCTTTTAGCGGAGAAAAACAAGAAAGAAGGAAGAAGAATGAGAACAAAAACAATAGGGCTCCAGCAGCTTCACTGCTTGGATCTGAACCTTCACAGACAAATGCACCTCCCTCTAAACTCTTTAAATGCAAATACAAATAAAATATACTAGCATTTACGAAATACTGTCACCTAAGGTCACAGAAATCCATCCCAGAAACCATAAATAACAAAGTGAGATGATTATCATGATGAGCTGCCTGTCTTGTATGACCCTTGACTCTTATTCTACCACTGGGGCCACAAAATCCCTGGAGTCCTTATTACCGTGCTGGAAGAGCAGAATTAAGAATATCTGTCTATATTACATATGATCTAGCTTTCTAAGTGCATTGCTGTGTTTCATCCTTTTACCTCCCACTCTCTTGAGAGGTGAGCAGACCGTGATGACAGTATGCAGAGCTTATGATGCCTTTATGTGCCTTCACTGAATGCCTTCAGTGTTAAAAATATGAAATTGTTGCATGACAATGTAGCTATTCCTCTAGATGAGAATCTAGGTGCTATTTAAACATCAGTCATTGCCAGACTATTTGTGATACCCTTGTATAATTATTATAAACAAACGACTCCATGATGGAGATGATTAGTAATATGAGTCACTGCTAATGTTTTTGTAAAGCCCATATTTTCCGAAAACCAATAAACTTTAAATATTATAACAGGAAGTAACACTTCCTCTCAATTAAGAGAGGATAAACAGCTAGAAAGTGATTTTCCATCTGTCTTTCACTCCTTCTACCATCTGCCTTTGTGAGAAACTCTGAAGCATTAGTTCTGTTTGTGTTGGAAGAACATTAATCTCTTCCTGCTTTATGTCACAAAGTAATCTAGCACATCTCTAGTCAAATTTGACCCTGTGGTACACAACAGTAAGTGTAGTGTTCGATCGAGGCTACCAATAGTCCTGAACATGTTCTCATTCATTTACAGTAAATATCACAGGTAGCCAACCCGCAATCCAATGCAGTTGAATGTTGGTGCACTCATCTTGTGTTCTGGCATCAAGTCTGACCTGCATACAGCTGCCACATTTTGCTAAGATGTTGGGGTGTGGAGTTGGGCTGAAAACAGCTCCAGTTAGTAGACTGGTGTCAACGCCAGAAACAGGACCAATGGACCTGGGAGGATTCTGGCATGTAATTCGTCTAGAGTCTGGCAACCAGGCATACAGGGTTTAGGCTGCTGTTGACTTTTGGCTACCTGGCTATACTAATGCAGTGGGAACCTACATGTGTTACAGTAGCTTTAATACTAATAATAAGTCCAACTTTGCATGTTTGTTTTTCTGATACAACATACAGATCTCTTGTGTAAAGCTCTCCTTTGCGGAAAGAAAAAAAAGACATTTTGTTTCATGATGGCACCTCTTGTTTTTGCATTAACCAGTCAGAAAGCTGTTGGTTTTCAATCTACAGTACATATATGGAGAACTTGTTTTCATACCCATCAAATAATTTCACTTTAAACCATGTGGTCAAGTTGATGGACAGCCAGATGGCAACCTGCTACACAAGACCCACAGACTCTAAACAACAACCTAATTTAGTTTTTCTGCTAATGGCTCCCTCTTATCAAGGATTTGTTGGTTTTTATTGATGTTTCTGTAGAATGTATGTTTTTTAACTAACCCCAAGTCCATCCTTCCACCATTTCTAGTTTCTGATGTGTGTTCTGTTTTGCAGTTGATTTGTAAGTCCACTACCCATATTGTCATCCTGGTAATGGATCACAGTCTCATACCACATTGGACCAGACAGGCTTAGGGTCGTACAAGCTGACACGGCACATCAAGCCAACAACCATTTTCTGCTACTGTGTAGTAAAGCCTGCAACCACTACAACATTTCATACCACCAGCACAAGACTGCCGGCAGCGAGAAACAGAGCTTACCTCCTTGGCAAACCTTTTAACTTTTTTTAGTACAATGTTTTTGTTGAACAGAAACAGCTATGTGCATATATGATACATAAATGAGGACTTTCCTAAAAAAACAACATGTAAGAAAGGTTTAGTGATTTAGGGAAGGACTGCATTTTGTATGAGTTAATGAATAATTTTCACTAAGAGGCAGGATTCACTTATTTATGTGTGGTTAACTACATCCAATTTATAATGCATGTAATTGAAACAGTTTGCGTCATTGCCAGTTAAATAGAAAATCAACATCTGTTAAGAGACTAAATGAATTGTTCCTCCTGTTGTGGAAGGTGGAACAATTAAGTGTGGAATTTCTCTTCAAACCTGATTTTTGGAAAATGATGATGGCTGACCTCTAGTTAGGGTCCTAGTGATAACTTAGTCATCTGTCTTTGCAGTGAAAGCCATGTATTCTCCACAGTCTTTTTCTATCTCTCCGTTGCAGCTCATTTTTAAAGTGTCTGTCATGTTGCGTGGCAATGAAGTGCAGCACAGTGCTGAAAAACAAAACTGAACAACAGGGGAGCCACACTGTTACAATCAGTGTGTCTCTTGTCACGTCCTTGGCTGGGCTGGTTAGTATGGAGATTTGGTGCTGGAGGTTAAATGAGGAGAAGACTTTCCTTTTGGGAGAAAACCAGGCGCCTGCTCTGGCTTCTAACCATGTGAAATATTAACAAGGCCAGGGACTTTACAGCGGCTGCACCACCCTGGCCTCTGCATAAGACAAAGTGCCGGCATAAAAAAGAAAAAGAAAAAGAAGATACAGAACAGAAGGGAAGCCACAGACAGATAGTTCAAACTCCAAAGGATGTTGAAAAAAACAATACATGATAGAAATTCAGAGAAAGACAATCTGTCACTACTTGTTTGAGGACTCAGGCGCACTGCTGAATGGAGTCATCCAACACATCTGATGAAGTGTTAAACAGGTAATCAATCACTAATTTAAAACAGATTATAATTTAAAGTAACCCTCTGAGCCCCGCTGTATGTGAGTCACTCTGAGCTCAGCACTTACACTAACTCTAACATGATGCAACCGTCCTGCAACTGAGAAACAGAGAAAAAAATATGCAGAATACCCTGCTTAAGTATGCATTTCTTCAATTTTTAATAATGTCTTAAATCATATGTTGGTAGTATTAGTCTTATGTTCTTATGTTAGGGCTTTTAGTAAACCAGAGACAGACACTGACTCATTCCTGATGTTGCACAAAGGCTGCAATGATGCTCATGTCAGCAAAATTGTAGGCTTTTTTTAATCACTGCAAGAAGAGACTGGAATTCAGATTTGTACTACAACAAGATTACTTGACATTTGTTT